GCTGAGCAGGAATCTGATCATCTCACCGTACTTCCAACAATTGACTCTGGAAACACCAGAAATATCATGCTGACTGTAAGCAAAGATATCAATCTCAAGCACAAATTAGTACTGTCTTCAAATGGCACTCTTTCCTGGAAATGCCAATTGCCACTGAAGACTGAAAGAAAGCAGGGGAAGAAGAGAGTAGCTCAGCACTACTGGGATGTAAATCCTGCAGCTCAAGTGGTTGTTGGTCCACTTAGTAAAAACCTCAAGTCATCTCGGGGAGTAGGAGAGGAAGGTGAAGCCTCAGAACCACTCATCTGGGTTTCCAAACATCACAAAAGCAGTGACTACACAGCAGCTTCTCCTGCAAAAGAAACAGAATAAGCCACAGGTTAAATCCACAATATATACTTCCAAAAGCATTACAGACGCATCAAAAGGTTACACTGAATCATAGTTTAGTGTTGAATCTTTACAGGGTGTGGTTAAAAAAAAAAAAGGCAAGATAGCAGCCATAACTATGATCATTGTTAAGTCCAGTGCAATGTATTTTGCAAATCAGAATAAAATAGTGCAATGATATTTTGGGCATTCCCTGAACAGAGCTGATTAGTCTGATAGGTGACCATCTACTACTCTACTTCACCCTCTACCACACTTGAGAGCAGCAAACTAATTTAAGACGTAGCACAGAGGTCCCCAAACTTTTGGGCACCAGGGACCGGTTCCGTGGAGAGAGGTTTTTCCATGGACCGGAGGGTGCGTGGTTTTGTATGCTGCCTGCAACCCGCGGATGGGGATTTGCTTGTTTGTGCTGACCAGTTGCGGGCATGCTGCGGCCCGGTACTGGTCCGCAGACCGGGGGTTGGGGACCCATGACGTAGCACAAATACTGCTGTACACTTAATCTTGTCTTTCAATATCTTGTCTTGCTCTCTGCTTCTCAGCATTTTCCATCTGAGAGAATCACTGCTCCCTTCTTTATAGCTGGAGACTTCTGCCTTGATATAAACACCATAATTCTGTTATTGGGAATTGGGAAGTGGAGCGTGGGGAATGAGATATTGGAGCTCTAGTGGGAAAACGTTATGTGACACCTGGGAGCCATCTCAGTGGTGGAAGAAAGACCAGTCAAAGTCTAAACGATAAGAAAGGAAAAATATGTTTCATGGATGTCTATGGAGATTCTCAGTCATCCAGGTCATAGTTATCCGAAAGATGCTTTTTCACGAGGCAACTGGACTACCTTGTTTTTCTTTCCTTTGCTATTGACTGTGAGTGCTTACCTAGATAAATCTCTGGAGTTTTACTGGCAAGATTTTCAGAAATGGTTTGCCTTCCTAGCAGCCCCGAGAGAGAGAGTGATTAGCCAAAGGTCACCCAAGTGGCTTTGTGCCAAGGTGGGACTTGAATTCACCATCTTTCAGTGCCTAGCCTGATGCCTTAATCACAGCACCAAGCTGGCTCTATAATAATCCATTTGGTGGATTGTATCATTGTAAAAAGCAAGGAGAGTTTGCTTTTTGTCTGAAACCCTCCATGCACATTGCAAGTTAGCTTAAGAGTAAAGCAAACTACATGGTTTCTTCCTGCCTGGAATATTTTCTTTCCTCTTTTTAATAAAAGAATGTAAATTCCAATGTTGATTGTCACAGTCCAGGAAAAGCTGCTCGGTCATCATTTAAAAAGGAACACTATCTGAATTACAGTCTGATAGGTTTCTTTTTCACATTGTTACATGTTATTCATTTTAGTGACCAAAGAAATAATATCCCAAAGCGAAATCAAGTCCTGGCTTGATTTCTTTTGAATGAGGGAGTATTTGAAACTTACAATGTCCTGTTCAGGCAAAGGGGAAGGACATTGTGAAACGGTGCTAAAGTCCTGCATTGTCATGTTTAGTCTGAGCAAGCCTGCCGATTGCAATCTTTATCCTGGTTTAACTAACTGAAAGCATCTTTGTACCACTTTATACAAGCAGAACACTAGCAATGCATGCAGGAAGTATTATTTCCCAGAAGGAGACAATTCCACAGATTTTTTTTCTACCAGTTGTTCTTCCTTATAATTGAGTAATGATATAGAGTGAGGGATATAGACTATTTACACTGTCCCTGCCATCACATTCTTGCTAGTCCTTGACTTGTGTGTATGTTGGAGGAAAAGATGGAAGGGAGAAGCGGCTTCTGCCTTGTTTAGAATCTGAATGGTCAGAATCCAAAATTGCATATGGAAACTCTCAGTCTTACAACGGGCAAAATGTTTGTGTGGTTTTTCATAAACAGGCATCCAGACATTCACTTTTGCTAGAAGCTGATCGCTTTCCTCAAGCTCTATCAATATTTCAATATGAAAGGATTGTGCGGGAAGGACGTATCCTCTGTCTTATTCCACTGAGGGCCGCAGTTTCATCAGCCAAAAAAACTGCATTAGATTTTGCCCTATATATTCTTTTACAAAGAAAGCCTAGTTCTAAAACGTCCTCTGATGTGATGGTCTTTTAAAAACCATGAATGAATTAGCAGTCAACATCACCAAGCAAAACAAAGGAGACATTGAGTGCGTATTATATTACAACATTTCTGTTTAATTTTGCTCTCTGCCTGCCAAGAGACCTGTGTGTTCTGCCTAATGCTGGAATCAGATCTGAGCAACTGCTAGTTTTTGCATTTTTCCCTAAAACACATGCAAGCGAGTTACTATTGTTTCTTTGTTCCAATACTTCTGTGTGTGATTTGAAATCTCTTTTGCACTCTTTACAATCTAATCTAAACTAGATCATATCTAATTAAATCAGAGTAATTTGCTTTGGCCAATTCATCATGGACTCAGCAGTTAACAACAATAAGAAGCTTCAGTATTTTACTTGTCCCAGGAGATACTTTAACCTCTGGCGTCACTTGGCTTTTCTTCCCCAGTACAAGAAAATGCCTTTATACTTACAGTTGTTTTGGTTGTAATTCACTGTGGGATCAGGATTTAAATATGCTGCTTCACTAAGCTAAGTTGCATTTACACAAAACAGCACTGTATGGCTAGAGACTATTGTCACAGCTCTCCAACCCCAATATGGATTTGCAAAGATGATTCTCTCTGCAGGAACCTAGACCCATGATTCCCATATACCCCAAAGAAAATATGGCATAGTGTCCAAATAGGAGGGCAATAGGAAGGGAAAAAAGTCAACAACATAGCAATCCTCAACAACAGCTAAGAAGGAAAGTCCCGCCAACCACTTTCTACTTCAGCTACAGCATCTGGCAGGACTTAGATAAATCATGGATTCTTCTTCATTTCAGTTAGTTCCATTCAAGCAGCACCAAAGATCAAGGTCCGGTAAAAATAAGAATTCTTTGCCTTATTCCTGTCTGGATCAAGCAATCATGGTTCTTCCCACAAATTTGACTCAATACATGTCTGAAGCGGTTAGGAACAATGTGGTTTCAGTGGCTTAGACATAGAAACATGCAGTGCAACTTACAGGAACCCACTGTGAACGAGGAGCCTTGAAACTCTGCAGAGGCGTCTTTACAAAGAAATACTTGAATGACAAACCATTCAATTACATTTGTAGTTCCACAAGGCGGACTCATATTACCGCATGGCCTGTTCAGAATTAGCCTCTGAATGAAAAGTGGCTTGTCTTCTTTCCCCCCCCCCCTGTCTCATAGTTAATATTCAAGGTATTTAAAAACAATAAGCAGTTCTGAAAAAATGGGAATTCACAGCCTTGGCAGAACTGTGCCTTTGAACTAGTTCCGAGGTGCTTTAAAAGAATATATTTTTTTTGTATTAATTTATCAAACATTTGTTTCAAAAAACAGACATTTTGCCCCTCTGCTGTCCTTCAACTGTACTGGAACTGCAGTTCCCTGGATTTCCAGCCAGAGGTCCATCAACCACGCTGGCTGGGAATTCTGGGAGTTATGGTCCCAAGGCTTCTTGGCAGTGTAGAACTGCTAATGGAATCTCTCTGGTAACGGGAAGGGGAAAAGTTCTCTTAGGGAAGTCACTCAAATTTAAGCTCCTGATTCTTAGACATGGACAGATTGGCATTATAGCTATGAGTCTGGGGGTAGTCTTTGTGAGGGAGATCCCATCACAATCACATATATAGAGAGGTGAGGCTATTTTTAAAGCTTACACTACAAATATTAGAAAAGTTTGCTGTTTCAAAGTAAAAAAAGAAATCCAAGCTACTACTCATAGAGACTATTTGGCTTAATATACAGTGTTGCAGGGTAATACAAAAGGAGAAAGTGATCTGTGATAATGCAGATTCCAAAGAATTTAAACTTTTCTTGAACAGTAAGATTTGAGACCTTAAAATTTCCATAGTGTTCCTGAAAATAGGTGGACAGTATCTACTGAGATCTCAAATTGCTGAGCAGGATTTCCTGCTTAGGTTTTTCAACATCCAGCCCAACCCACAAGTAGCTAGGGGCACGCGAAAAAACAAAATGATGCGCAGAAAAGTCCCACAGATTTGTAATATGCTTATATATTATATAATTCAACTTGTGGCAGTATTTGGGACAAATTTCACCCCCCTCCCCTTATGCAGAGTATGTGTGACTCTGTTCAAAATCAAACGTGTGCCTTTTCTTGTAAGTATGTGCCTTTTCTTGTGTTCCATCAGCCTTGTTTGTAAACATACGTGTTCATATGAACAATCTAACCTTAGCATCACGAATCATTTAGCAATGTCAAGAGATGGCTGATCTAATGCCGTGTCCTTCTGGTATTTACGGAAAGCCAGTGCACATGCGGGAGCATGGGAAAATGACGCTAGATAATTGCAGTTAGTGGATTCAGTTTGCAACTGTTCATTACATAGTTCTAATGTTTCTTTTGGCCGCTGTGATGGCAGGAAGGAATTGCTTAGATTTACCATGCTGCCATAACTGGCAGTGGGAGTATCTGAGATGACCTCCACGTGGTGGCCACAAAATATGTGCTTGCCAGTAATACATACATAGATACATATAAACTTAATACCAACCTTTCAGTTCTGAGAGATGTTATGGAGCCCCAGGTGCTTAAGATGGAGAAGAACATTTGCTCTTCTTCTACAAGAGCAAGAAAGATAAAATAAATCACAAGACCTGTCATATAATAATACGTTTCAAACAGCAATTGCCAGTGTGTTCTTACTGCTTTCAGTTGAGCTGGGGAAAATGCAAATCCTATAACAGAGTGGGTGTATTTATTGAGGCACTGGCTATCTTTATATAGCGAGAAATCGATACATTTGCATCTATCCGCTATACAAATAATATCTTGAACCGGGAGATCAGATGGATGTGACATTTTACAAATGCACAATTATCTCAGTCCTTCCTCTTGAAAAAAAAGAAAAGTGATCAGGTAGGCAAGGAATTTGCATGCAAATGGCCTTTCTAAAGAAGTACAGGCAAGTTTAAGAAGTATGTAAAAAGTCTGAAATTGTATAAGGGTCTACTGCTTGTGCAGGGGGTTGGACTAGAAGACCTCCAAGATCCCTCCCAACTCTGTTATTCTGTTACAGGCAAGATAACTAACCAGATTATCTGACCATATGACCATTATCTGCATTCATATTTCAAATTACATACCTGCATGTACCTGCAAGTACCCTATGAACATCTTTTGCAAGAAATTGCTCACAATCATAATTTACTCAGTGTTTCTCAACCTTGACAATTTTAAGGCATGTGGACTTCAACTCCCAGAATTCCACAGCCAGCATTGCTGGCTGTGGAATTCTGGGAGTTGAAGTCCACATGCCTTAAAATTGTCAAGGTTGAGAAACACTGATTTACATGGCCAAAGATAGTAACACCATTTTAGTGGGAGCCTAACAATGAATCTCTTCAATAGCGTCCCCCCCATCCCCAACCCCCCCTGCAATAATCTGGTCATCAAATAGTAGAAATGAATAGGAGACTAATTTATAACAATCAGCCTAATGAATAAGCACTTCTTCCTGCAAAGAGATTAAGAGATAAATGCAAATAACAATTTTGATCAGATCTACAGACCTTAGCTTCCAGTTTGCAATGGAGTGTTTGACTGGACAACCAAGGATGTTTTAAAGCTGCACCTGCACTAATTCTCCAGCTAAACAGGAAAGAACAAGGTTATTGGGTGACATGTATACAGGAACTTTTAATATCAGAAATATTTAAGTCTGATATTTGCTTGTATGTTTGTGTTTTAAGATGAGGGTCTGATGCAGCAACAGACAGCTTCAGCTTGAGATTTGAATTTAAAAAAAAAGCAAAACATACTTTCAGAAATGGTGTTCTTAAGTGGCAAAAGTACAGGTTCATTATTCAAGTTCTTCATTAGTAAGCTGGCCAATTTCATTCTGAATGAAAACTAAACATACAAGTCTTCATTTCAGGATATGTATGTAATTTAAAGTGTGCATCTAGGCCAGGGGTCTTCAAACCTGGCCCTTTTATGACTTGTGGACTTCAACTCCCAGAATTCCTCAGCCAGGGTGCCTGGCTGAGGAATTCTGGGAGTTGAAGTCCACAAGTCATAAAGGCCCAAGTTTGAAGACCCCTGATCTAGGCTAATTTTCATCCATACAAATTTTCACCCATCTTCTAGTTCCTATACAATCCCATTTGGGTCCAGAATTTCCATTGCCAAGTAAGACAGTTGTTAAATGAGACATGCCTAATTTCACAACCTTTTTTGCTAAGTGAATCACAGAGTCATTAAGTGAATCCGGGTTCCCCCATTGACTTTGCTTGTCAGAAGTCAGCTGGGAAGATTGCAACTCGCGATCACATGACCCCAGGATGCTGTAACCATTGTAAATACTTGGCAAATGCCTGAATTTTGATCCATGACTCTGGGAATGCCGCGATAGTTGAAAGACTAAGGATCAGTTGTAAGTCACTTTTTTCAGTGCCGTTATAACTTCAAATGGACACTAAGCAACTGGTTGTAAGTTAAGGACTACCTGTACATCCCTAATGAGTGATTTGTGCGATTTTCCCCCCCTAGAACTTTGCAGCTTATATGGTGTTCCTATCGGACCAATTCAATCACCTTCAAGACTAACATGGTTATCCACCAAGCCTTCAGGATTATTACTAAAAAAAAATAACTGAGTAATACTATGTAACTAGTATCTAGCTATTAATATGCGCCTTATACTAACCTATTAATAAAATGCAGTTTTTATTTTTGGCATATCATGAATTTGTTTTATTTCTTGTACATTTTAGTAGTAATGTAATTCTGTCAAACATGATTATTATTTTTGTGTATCAGTGTGTAGCAATGGAACTGAGCAGAGAACGTATTAAAAGCAAAACATTATAGGTGTGTAATTACCATTTTTCTTTGATAAGAAGCTTAGAGATGAAATCTTTGGCTTCTTCAGACACATTTTCAAATTCTTCATCTTCAAAGTCCCACCTACAAGCCAGGATGTTATTCAAAGTCTCATTATCATCATCACCCAGAAAAGGAGATAATCCAGTAATCCTATAGGAAGAGGGGAAAAAACACCCCATGGTCATTAAACATAACATAACATTTTTGAACTGCCCATCTCCCTCAGAGAAGGACCCTGGACGGTATACAATAAAAATGTTAAAATATAAAAATATAAGCATATAAGAATTATTTTTTTTAAAGGAATAGAATCTAAAAGGAGGCAAGGTTGATTGAACTCTGTTTAAGAAAAGTAGATAAAAGGTGAAGGGAGTGTTCTTAGAGTGCCAACCAGCCCCACAGCTGCGGTACCTTTTTGGGTTCCCCACGTGAGGCTTCAGAGCAGCGGTTCTCAACCTATGGGTCGCGACCCCATTTGGGGTCGATCGACCATTTCACGGGGGTCACCAAGCAAGGCTGTCCGCCATTTTTTCCCCCCTTTTCCGGCGGGTGCCTTACCTCCCTTGGGCTGGGCCAGCTGGTGGTCAGCCTGCTCTGTCTCTGCCGCTTGCCAGCTACGCCTCAGCTGGCGCAGGGGGCGGAACCACGCATGTGCGGCGCTCCCGGGCAGGGAAAGTCCTTGACTTACGACCGGTTGGGTAGTCCCCGACTTATGACTGGTTTAGTCCTCGACTTATGACCAGTTTAGTCCTCGACTTACGACCAGTTTAGTCCTCGACTTGCGACCGGTTGGGGGTCACGGCATTAAAAAGGTTGAGAACCACTGCTTCAGAGCCATGTTTTAACTTCTTTTCGGAAGGCAGGAAAGGGGGAGGCCTGCCTCACTTGTGTGTGTGTGTGTGTGTGTGTGTGTGTGTGTGAATATTCCACAAGGAGGGGGCGACAGCAGAGAAAGTTGTCTTCCTGGACCCTGTCAGTCAGAATAATTTAACTGATGGGGTCTGCAACATGCTTTCCCTATGTGACAGGATTTTAGGAATCTTCTCCAACATTCAAAAGCATAATTCTATACTGCTTCTACTTCTAACTTTTTGCTTCTTATAAAGCAGGGGTGTCAAACTGCCGGCCTTTGGGCCGGTTGCATCATGCGGAGGCCGTGCCCACCCCACCTCCGGCAATGTGAAAAAAGTCACGATACGTCACGACACGTCACATGACACGGCAAGTTTGACACCCATGTTATAAAATGTCACAAGGAATGTGATAGCTTGCGTGATTATGATGTTTGTAAGTATAGACATATCATGGCATCTGAATATGTTTTCCAATGTCTTCATTCCTATTCCATCAAATGCTAGTTTGCAGTGTATTTCTTGATTGTTGATTTATTTGACGGTTGATAGTAGATGCTAAAAAATCATAAACTATCACCGTATCTTCATTTCAATTCTAACCCTGTGTGGTCTCTGCTGTCATTAGTTTGTTCTTTCTATTTAATCTTAGTCACGTTATTTTCACCGTGCTCCTTGCCTTTCATTACTAGAGGCTGCAGGTCTTTTGCATTTTCAGCTGTGCTGATGACAGTAATGTCATCAGCACAGCGCTGAAGGCTGTGATTTTAGGATTTCTGGCTTCAACATCGCCAATTTTTTCTCTCTCTTCTGCGCTTTACAATCAAACTTCATAAGCTAAAATCTTTGTATATTGTTTTGTGATATTTGAGTTAGTCCAAGAAGTTCACCATGATTTTTGGAACTTCATGAACATGACACAAAACGAAACCTAAGGATATTCCAGATGAGAATTAGATAGATAGATAGATTAGATAGATAACCTTTATTGTCATTTTTTACTGCGGGCACAATGGCACACTTTAAAAATGAAATTTAGTTGCTTGCTCTCAATGTGTAAACATACATAACACACATTTAAACATACTATATACAACATATGTCTAGACCTACACCCTTACATATAAGTAACATATAAATATTAACCACTATCCAACTTGAATACATAATGGAAGGAGGAAGCTTTAGAGTTCACAAGGTTAATACTATATGGAACAAAGCTGTGACTGAATCTGGATGTTCTGCTTCGGATACAAAGGAAGCCTCCTCCCAGAAGGTAACAAGGTTGTGAAGAGGATGTGTAGTGTCCCAGACAATCTTACAGACCCTGCTCAAGCAACGCTTATATGCTATGTCCTGGATGGAAGGGAAGGAACTGCCAATAATCTTTTCAACCATCCTCACCACTCTCTGCACCGCCTTCCTATCTGAAGCGGTGATGCTTCCAAACCAGACTGTAATGCAATATGACAGGATGCTCTCAATTATCCCTCTGTAGAAAGTGGTAAGGACAGGGAAAGGAAGATGTGTTTTTCTCATCAGTCACAAAGTATTATGCCATCAATCTTTTCTACTTAACAGATTCTCTAATATGGGAAATAATGGAAGGTGTTCTCAGAACATCTTACCCTCCCTGCTGGAGTAAGGTCATCTCCAACCCTAGATACTTTCCATAAGGGCTTAAAGTCCTGGCTCTTCCAATTGGCTTGGGGCTCCAACAGAGGGGTTTCACATTGGGGGTGATTGATTAACAACAGATCCCGCCCCCTTCTCTTCTCATCATACTCCCTCCGTCCCCATCTTTTTAGCTAGCTTGATTTTTTTATAGTATTGTACCTATATTATTTGATTTTGTACAGTTTTATCTTTTAATATTGTAAGCTGCCTAGAGTTACAGTGTGTTAAGATGAGCGACCAATAAATTTTAAAAATAAATAAAGAAAATTGCCATTATCATTATCTGCCCTCATCCAATAAAATTCCATGTCCCAATAAAATTATGTGACCGCACAATAAAAATTTCATCTGGAAGCACTCACAATCCTAATATTTAGAATTTAGTTCAACTTACAACATGTAGGCCATGACACCAATGCTCCACATATCAGTAGGAAAAGAAACAAAATCATAGTTCACAACTTCAGGAGCAAGAAATTCTGGAGTGCCAAAGTTGATCTTAAGTTTTTCCCTTGGTTGATATCTAAGAAACAAAACAGAAAAAAAAAATCCATGGGAAAAAGTAGCAGCAAACATGACATTTATAGCACATGATAATACTTCAACAATTTTCCTAGCTAGGAATTCTAATTTTCCTAGTAGTCACCATCAGGGGGTATTAAGGTGGGGAGGATTACTTTAGGATTTCAAGTATCTAAGAGGGAGAATTTGATCAGGTTATTTAGCAGATGTTTTTATTGATGGGGGAAGTTGGAGGGAAGGATACCTTGGTTGATAGTACCAAAGGCTGCTGAGAAGTCCAGGAGGGTCAGAATAATTGCACCATCCTGATCCTGATCCTCCCATAAGTCATAAACCAATGTTGCTTCAGTGCTGTGCCCTGTTCTGAACCCAGATTGAAAAGGTCTAGAAAATTCGCTTCACCCAGGGTTCTTTGTAACTGCGAGCGAGACATGTTCTCAACAACCTTCCCTCAAAGGAGAAGGTGGGAGACTGGACAAAAGTTCTCCAATACTGTTGGGTCTAAGGATGGCCTCTTGAGAAGGGCTTATGATTTAACTTATGATGTTAATTAAAGTGCCATTTGAAAGTGCTGAAGGCTTTCAGAATGAAAGGCTCACTTGGATGACTTTTACCCATCATTTTGGCCTCATTAGAACATGTCACTGTTTATTGTACCAGCCTCCTTCCCCCTCCACTAAGAACAAAATTCACTGGCTAATTCTTTGTTGTTTAAAAAAAATAACAGAAGAAACATACAGAACTTTTATGTCAAGATTTCAGGTCCCAAGTCCTGCAGTATCTAAACTAGAGCAATGTTATCCAAGGTCAGCCCTCTTCTATTAGACTAAAGACACTTCCCTTCTTATTAAACCTTGTTTATCCCCAAAACATGACATCCAACTGAAATAGATTTCAATTTGAGAAAATGAGAGCTGCTGACTATTTGATTAAAACAACATACCTTCTTGCCAGCCCAAAGTCAATAATCTTTATTTGAAATGCCTTTCGATTCACACACAAGATATTCTCAGGCTGTCAGAAGAAATAAAAGTGCACATTTATGAGAAATGGTGAATGAAATGCTCTAGGATCAGTGTTAAAAATACACCAGAGCATAAACATACGCATCTGGATGCTGGTGTTTTATAGCAGGTTAGGCTTTGCAGATAAATCAAACTATAATCATGTGGTATTTGAGGCTGGGAACACTCCACCAGGGCAGCAATTCCCTTGCGGTGGAATTTCTGTTTGACAGAATACAGAAATTTGAGATAAAGAATTCATTAGTGAGCTTTCAAAAAGGAAATGAAAGCACTTTGGCTGGTTTCAGGAAGTCAGGGACTGTAATTTGCAGCCCATTGTGTGCTGATATTGGGGTATTTCAGAAAACATTGCTTTAATACTTTTCTGTGCAATTGAACTTCTTAGTTTATTCTTCAACAAACCAATATCTGACGGATTAACACCAGGTAAACTTGTGAACTGTGCAGAAATTAGTTATTAACTAATATTAGCTATTATAGGCGATAAAGAACTATTGTAGATAAAGAGCTAAATTATTCAAATACTGGTTTCATTGGTTCTGCTTCATAAATTAATGTTGGACTCAAACTTTCAAATGTTACTTACGAGTTTAGCTAGACAACAATTTCCTTTGTGATGCCAGCCTTCAAACAATAACCCCCCTTTATTTATTTATTTATTTATTTATTTATTTATTTGTTTGTTTGTTTGTTTGTTTATTTATTTATTAAATTTATATACCGTCCTATCTCCCTTGCGGGACTCAGGGCGGTGAACAGGCAATACTAAAAACCACGATAATAAATAAATAGTTTGTTTTAAAATCGAATTAAATAACAGGCCTGTTCTAAAAACACACCCGTAAAACCCCCCCCACTGAAACATAATCAAACTACGCCAGGCCGGCCGCACGGAATAGATGGGCCTTCAGGGCTCGGCGAAAAAGGCGCAGGTCCGCAACTGTACGTAGGTCGGGGGGTANCGGTCTTGCAAATACCTAGGTCCATTGCCATGGAGCGCTTTAAAAGTTGTTACTAACACCTTGAAGCGCACCCGGAAGGCCACCGGCAGCCAGTGCAGCTCGCGCAGGAGAGGTGTTACATGGGAGCATCTAGAGGCCCCCAAAATCCCCCGCGCAGCCGCATTCTGAACTAGCTGGAGCCTCCGGGTGCACCTCAAGGAGAGCCCCATGTAGAGAGCATTGCAATAGTCCAGGCGGGAAACAATAACAATAGCTAGACAATATTAGCTATTATAGGCGATAAAGAACTATTGTAGATAAAGAGCTAAATTATTCAAATACTGGTTTCATTGGTTCTGCTTCATAAATTAATGTTGGACTCAAACTTTCAAATGTTACTTACGAGTTTAGCTAGACAACAGTTTCCTTTGTGATGCCAGCCTTCAAACAATAACCCCCCTTGCAGTCCCCCCCCCAAATTTACAGATATTTACAGAAAAATAAGTCATGAACATCTATATCATAGAAATACTCCAAAATAAATTTTGGGCTGAATCTCCAAACCAGATAAAATACAGATTTAACCTGATTTTCACTCAGTTACACTCATAGAATAAATATTCCAACATCTGATAAAAATACATAACTACATAATGTAGCAAATTGGTATTCAATTAAGCAATTTAGTAATTAAAACTACTTTATCCAATGAAATAAGAATCAACAAAAAGGAAAAATTGATATTGCCCCTCTTTAAATCCAGACTTGGTGGTTTTTGCAGAGAGGTTTGGCATGAACAAAAATTAGATTTTATTTTGGCCACAGGCAACTGAGTTTTTCCTAATGGTTTTAGTGTTATAGAACTGAAAATAGAGTGACGTTCAGGTAACATAATATGCATTCACTCTCACCAAGTTATTCAATTATTTGGGATCACATTCAGCAAGCTAAGTAGCCAAATACATGGCTTTGATTTAGAGACAACCAAGGCACTGGATGCCTAAATAAATAAACATATAGAATGCACCAAGGCCCAATAGCTGCTCTTCCTAGAGGAAGATAACTTCAGGGACAGTTCTTGATTCAATGGAGAATATGGTTTGACATCTGCGACGGCCTCACCATCAAACGTATGTCTCTTAAGTTCCCATTATTTATAGAAAGTTGATAGAACTTTTGTCTGATACTATCAGCAGCAGCAGAGTTCTTCAAGATGGTTTGACATCTGCGACGGCCTCACCATCAAACGTATGTCTCTTAAGTTCCCATTATTTATAGAAAGTTGATAGAACTTTTGTCTGATACTATCAGCAGCAGCAGAGTTCTTCAAGGATTTGAAATGTCATTAGAACAGAGGTTCTCAACCTTTTTAATGCCGCGACCCCCAACCGGTCATAAGTCGAGGACTAAACCGGTCGTAAGTCGAGGACTAAACCGGTCGTAAGTCAAGGACTAAACCGGTTGTAAGTCAAGGACTACCCAACCGGTCGTAAGTCAAGGACTTTCCCTGCCCGGGAGCGCCAAGCATGCGTGGTTCCGCCCCCTGCGCTGGCCGAGGTGTAGCTGGCAAGCGGCAGAGACGGAGCAGGCCGACCACCAGCTGGCCCAGCCCAAGGGAGGTAAGGCACCCGCCGGAAAAGGGGAAAAAATGGACAAAAAAAATGGCGGACAGCCTTGCTTGGCGACCCCCGTGAAATGGTCGATCGACCCCAAATGGGGTCGCGACCCATAGGTTGAGAACCGCTTCATTAGAACATCATTAAAAAGGCACAACAAAGAATGTTCTTCCTGAATCAACTCAGGAAGTTCAAGTTCAGACTGCCCCAGGAAATGTTGATACAGTTCTACAGAGAAATTATTGAGTCTGTCATTTGTATTTCTATAACTGTCTGGCTTGGTACAGCAATCAAACAGGACAAGTACAGATACCAACCAATAGTTAGGCCTGCGGAAAAAAACAGTTGCAACCAGCCTGACTTCCATAGAAAATCTGCATATAGTGTGGGTCAGAAGGAGGGCTGAAAAAATATCTACAGATCCCCTCACATCCTGGACATAAACTCTTTCAACTCCTCCCCTCAGGATGCTGCTGTAGGGCATTGCATGCCAAAACAACTAGACCAGGGGTAGGCAACCTTGGCTCTTTTATGACTTGTGGATTTCAACTCCCAGAATTCCTGAGCCAGCCATGCTGAGGGGAAAGGGAGAGGTTTCCAAGCTGAGCCATGCTGGCTCAGGAATTCTGGGAGTTGAAGTCCACGAGTCATAAAATAGCCAAGGTTGCCTACCCCTGAACTAGACACAGGATGGTTTATTCCCTCAGTGCCATCACTCTACTGAACACCTAATTCTCACACTACTGCCTTATATCTAAGTATAATACCCATGTTGCATGGCTGTCGTATTATGATTATCCTTCTCATTTTCATTACTACCCCTCTTACTGGTATCATTATTATGATTATTATTACTCTGTTGCTTTGCATGTACACTGAGAGCTTCTGCACTGGAGACAGATTCCTTGTGGATCTAATCACATGGCCAAATAAAATATTCTGTCCTATGATTCATCTATCCATCCACTTAATCTCTTGCCTTAAGAATTTAGGCTATAGGAATAGTTATTTCTTTAGTACAGCGGTTCTCAACCTATGGGTCGCGACCCCATTTGGGGTCGATCGACCATTTCATGGGGGTCGCCAAGCAAGGCTGTCCGCCATTTTTTCCCCCTTTTCTGGCGGGTGCCTTACCTCCCTTGAGCTGGGCCAGCTGGTGGTCGGCCTGCTCCGTCTCTGCCACTTGCCAGCTATGCCTTGGCTGGCGCAGGGGGCGGAACCACGCATGTGCGCCGCTCCCGGGCAGGGAAAGTCCTCGACTTACGACCGGTTGGGTAGTCCTCGACTTACGACCGGTTTAGTCCTCGACTTACGACCGGTTTAGTCCTCGACTTACAACCGGCTGGGGGTCGCGGCATTAAAAAGGTTGAGAACCACTGCTTTAGTATTAGCAACTATCCTTTTCAGCTGTCCTGAGAGCTACCACATCAAGAAAAGGAAGGAATACTGCAGAACAGAGAGAAGATTCAAGTTGCCTAGCATTTGAACTTCACTTTGCTTTTCAACACTATGGCATGCTGGAAGACAGTGTACTGCAATCGCAGCAAACAGGAGACCAGTGCAACTGATCTTATAGCAGGATGGATCATTTTAATTGCTTTCTTGTAACCCTTGGACCTTCTTCTAATTCACTGAAATGTGGTGGATTACTGCTAAAACAATAGTCCTCAACCTGAGTAGATGTTCTAACCATTGCCTACAAGTTCTAAGAATAAAGGACAATCTGAGTTCTAAAATTCTATCCCCACTCCTAATATGCTTTTATTATCTGAAATTTGAGTCGATTCATGACACTCAGTGCTCCAAATCAAAAAGGGTCACCAACTGCTATCATAATACTGAATTCTAAGATGTTCAGTCTAGTTAGTATATACACTTTTTTTGCATAGGAAGTACAACAAATGCACAGAACCTTCAAGTCCAAATGGAGAATATACATTTGATGCATGTATTGAATCCCTTCACAGATTTGTTTTATGAATAAGATGGCTTCCATCTCTGTCAAGTTGGAGTTGTCATCAAGAATCCGATCAAACAGTTCTCCTCCTTCCACACTGAAAAGAGAGACAGATAGACTTAATTCGTAATTCAGTGTGCTTAAAATTTCACATTCAAGAACAATATTCTCCAACCTGGCATGCTCCACATGTCTATCTAGGATTATAAGAAAACACTGGAATTGGGAAGGCTGGTCAGAAATGTTTGTTTCCCATGTGACTATGTACATGCAGACCTAGACTCTCATAAATTGGCTATGTACAAAACAAACAAACTGCAATGAATCTTTCAGGATTTGGTTATTACCTGATGTAGAATATACTTTTTGATCGTAATTCCAAAACAAACTGTCAACAGCTTTATTTTTATTGAAGGTGGAGTATTTCAAGGAGTGAATGTCAAGAGATTTGCGATAAGCTAGATGTACAGTTTTCAGTGAGTAAACAATTACTGGAGATCATAGATGTGCAGAAATCTAAGTAGGGCATTTATTCTCCAAATGGTGAGGTCTATCTTAGTATTCTTCAGGCAGAGAGAGAGAGAGTTTAAGAATAGTATGACTCTCTAATGCATGAATAATATACTTCAGTAGTAAAGCACATGCTTTACATGCAAAAGTTGAATCCCTGATATATCTAAGCACATTTCACTGAAAATGTTGCCAATCTAGTTCATACTTCCAACGTCACCCTCCCCTTGTCAGGTTGCATGTAAAAATTCAAACACCCCAATCAAATTGTAGTGTTTGAAAACATCCATATTCAAACAGAAGTTGATCCAACCTCTACATGGTTTCCAATTTCGAATCTGTAAATACTGCACAGAACAGCAATGACAATAGCACTTAAACTTATATACCACTTCACACTGCTTTACAGCCCTCTGTGAGCAGTTTACAGAGTCAGTATATTGCCCCCAACAGTCTGGGTCCTGATTTTACCGACCTCAGAAGGATGGAAGGCTGAGTCAACCTTGAGCTGGTGAGACTCAAACTGCCAAACTGCTGGCAGCCAGCAATCAGCAGAAGTAGCCTGCAGTTCTGCATTCTAATCACTGCACCACCGCGACTCAGAAGTAGTAAGTATGGATAATATTGATTCTAATAAAGAAATTGCCTAAGTGTGAATGTAGATTTTTTTTTTCCTTTCCAAAACTTACCTTCTGTTCTGTCACTATGTAATCTCTATAAACCTGCTCCAGGTTAAGTATATCAGAGGAAAGTGGAAGATATACTGTAGGTTGGAACTGAATAGCTGTGTAAACTATAGATATTGTCTACATTCTCTATACTCCCATAAAAGATAACTACAGTTGCTGGGTTTAGCACACTGTTGACTGAATGGAGAATGAGGAGAATCTCATTAAATGCTTTGGCTGCAGACACAGTTAAGAAAGAGAAGCAGAACGAACATCTAATTGATACATACTATTCCATAATAAGGACAAGATCATTTTTTGATTCAAAAGCATCATACAGCTGAATGATGTTCATGTGGGTCAATTGATTCATTATATTTATCTCATTTTTCACTTCATCCTGCAAAGAAAAAAAAAAGAATATTGTTACACTTGAGGAGAATGTAGCAAAAATCTTAAATCTTAGTATTATGGATTTTCCTATCTCCATATATTAGTTAAACCCTTAAAGCTCCCTTTTCCAATGCAATGACATCCCAAAGTGCTGAACCTCAGCTGGTGGAAATATGCACCACCAATATTCAGATGGCAACAAAATTTATACTTTGCCCATTCTAAGAATTCAAGAGCAACTGCATTTCAGAAGAAGCCATGACTATCATTCTTTAGGTCTCTATTCAGATAGGCATTGCCTCTGCTTTGTCTGCTGAGCTAGAAGTACTTTGAACTACTAAGGCATTTTTCTTAAAAAAAAAAAAACCAGAAAGAAACCTGCTTTATATTGTTGATCAGGTGAACTGCCTATAATGGTTAAACTGGCAAGCTGAACACTGATGCTGTTCCAGAACAAGATCAGAGAAAGCAGTTGAGGTGTGGAAGGATGAGAAAAAAATATCTTAAGGTCTTTGCATTAAAGAGTAGGAGAGAAAGGTATAAGAGTTAAATCCTGGGTCTTGCTTGCTTAAAGAGATGATGATGGTGATGGTGATGGTGATGATGATGATGATGATTATAAGGGAGAGGGAGAGAGAGAGAGAGATTCTGTGTTCTGCAGCAGGCTGATTTTCAGAGCATATGCAATTTCTTTTTTGTGTAAAATGCGATGACATATCTAGGAGAATAATCAATCTTTTGGGCTTCTGTTATTCCCTAGTTCCTAAGAATAGGATTAAGTTTCCAGAATAATGGAGAATTACTATTTGGGCTGATCTAAGTTCTGATAGTTTCTTTCAACTTGAATTAACTCCTAGAAATCTCATGGCGACATTTGTTTTTTTTTCTTGACAACAGTGTAGATCTGGCTTGCCATTGCTGCTAAGTTTTTGTTTTTTACTACTTAAATCTAGTTTATAGCATGGTAGTCCTATGTGGTTTCCCACCCAAGTACACGATATATTTGACTTTCAATTCCAAAGCAGAATGTTGAGGCACTCTGCAATGAACCTTTGCAAGAGCTGAGAAAATAGAATAAAATTTTCTTCCTAAAATAATAATGTGAAAGAAATTACAACATGCACCCTTAATTTGTGGCCTCTGCTTTACAGATTACCTAAATTGATGTTGGGAGGGGGGAGAAATTGAAGTGGAGATTTCAAATGCTGCTCTTCGTACAAATAGCTAAGATCTTTATATCACACAAAAAGATATGAGTCCATCTGCAAAAGTTTGTCCAGGTGAAGCCAAGTCAGTAGATAACAAAGCCCACACATTGCTATAAGGCAGGGGGTCTTCAAACTCAACCCTTTTATGACTCATGGACTTCAAATCCCAGAATTCCTCCGCCAGCATGCCTGGCTGAGGAATTCTGGGAGTTGAAGTCCATGAGTCATAAAAGGGCCGAGTTTGAAGACCCCTGCTATAAGGTGTTATTCAAAGCCCACTTACCTTTTCCTTTACACTCCTGGCTTTTATAGTTTTGGCTGCTAATTTGAGACCTGTCTCTTTTTCTTCACATTTATGCACCTGACCAAACCGTCCACTAGAGAAAGAAAAAGAAAAAAGCATAATTGAATTCAGGCCTCAGGTGACTTTTCATTTCATTTCTTTTGAAGTTAGGACAGTCCTAGGATTAGGAGAATCACTTGCTCTGACCCTACAAGGCTGATCTTATATACTTGTTAAAAGATTACAATAAAAGATTTAGGACAGGGGTCTTCAAACTTGGCCCTTTTATGACTTGTGGACTTCATTTCCCAGAACTCCTCAGCCAGCGTGCCTAGCTGAGGAATTCTGGGAGTTGAAGTCCACAAGTCATAAAAGGGCCAAGTTTGAAGACCCCTGATTTAGGAGATCAACATGATTGGTCCTATTTCCAGAAGAGAAACAAGAAAAATGACAATGTCCAGGCTTTTGGCTGGTCCCTTCAGTAAACAGGGCATTGGAAAAAATAGAGCTTTAAGACCAACAGACTTTTTGATGTTCTCAACATTCCTTCTCATGAAAGTGTCATGCTTTGAGGTAGAATTTAGAACACTCATTCATTTTTAGGACAGGTTATGATAGACTATTTATTTGTACTGTGAATCGATTTGTTTGATTGGTAATAGCAAGGACTTCTTGAACTGGAAGACACCAAAATAACTCAGCTCAACTTTCTGTTCAGTCTTCCATTTAAAATACGTAAGCCATTGCTATTCTGGACCAGGATGCTTAGCGTATTGCTTCATCCAAATAAAACTACTACTTGATCTGTACTGTACTAATCTAGGACAGTATCCAGGGGTTGGTCTGATTCTTTTAAGAGATTCTGCACCAAATGAACTATAATTTTGGCTCAACTTACCCTCCCAAAACTTCATTCTTGAAGATGTGATAGAAGCTACCAATCCCAGCTCTTTTTGCTTTGATGATCCTGTGATCAAAAGGAGCAGGCGTTGATAGTATGGTATCTGTAAATGATAAACACAAAATGCCACATCCAATGTGAAATGAGAGACACAAACGGTTATGTGGGTATGCATGCCTTTGAGTTAGGTTTTGTCTGCTGGCAACTGCCTGGACATGTCCCTGCAGTTTTCTTAGCAAGATTTCAGAAGTAGTTTGCTATTGCCTGCTTCCTAGAGCTGAGAGAGAGTGACTGGCCCAAGATTTCTGCCTAAATTGGGTTTCTGCCTAAAGTGGGATTAGAACTCACAGTCTCTCGGATTCTGTCCTGCTGTCTCAAAATTATTTGTGTGCCTTTTCCATTTTTGTTCAGGTGTTAAATGTAATGACCAACGTCAAACCACTATTTTCCCTTGTGCACTGTTGCAGGATGGCAGCTTTTGCTTTGACTGTGCAAAAGATTTTTGTATACATTGTTTTCTGGAAATCTCAAGATCTGGCTTGGAACAGGATTCCACAAATTCTATCATGGGTTAAATTTGGACTTGGTAGGTCCTAAAAGAACTTTGGAACAGTTTGAAAATTTAAAAAACATAATGGTGAGATAGAAATGCAGGCTTTTAATGTTGCTGTAGGCTACAGAGAGCTACCTATTCAGCTTAATAAAGTCAACCTTAACTGTATCCAAGAAGCACGAACATGGGAACAAAGAAGTGAAACAACTATAAATTGACATCTTAGGCACCAGGAAGTCAAAATGGATTGGATACTTTCAGTCAGAAAAATCATACTTTTTATTTTTAAGGACCTGAAAAACAAGATAAAACAGCTTTGCTTTTATACTTAGGAAGAGCATAGTAAGAATTGTACTTTGTTACAATGTAATAAATGATAACATCAACTAGACTTCATGGGCAATTCCTTAATATGACAATCTTTTAAGTTTATGCTCTAACCAAGGTAGAAAAATAGGAGCTTGATGAGTTTTATAATCAACTTCAGTTTGAAATCAAGCACTCCTTGTGACTGGCGACGGGAATGCCAATACTGGAAATATTAAAAAGGAAAATGTAGTTGGATGGTATGGCTTAGAAAACCAAAATGAAACAGGAAAGCGATGTATCAGTTTCTGCCACTCCAACGAAATGTTCCTAGCTAACACTGTGTTCAAACAATAAAAATAATGCCTCTATAAACGGATATCACCAGATGAAGTATATAGAAATCAAATTGACAATATGATTGCTAAAAGGAGGCAGAGGAGCTGAATTATAGCATCATAAACATGGCCAGGCACTGACTGTGGAACAAATCATGAACTGCTCATGTGCTAGTTTATTTATTTATCTAATAGATTTTTATCTTGCCCTTTATTACTTTATATAAGTAAGGTAGTAAACATACTTAATACTGCTCTTCCTATTTTCCCCACAACAATAATATTGTGGGGTGGTTTGGGCTGAGAGAGACTGACTGGCCCAAAGCCAGTAGGATCTTGTACATATACCCACCGTTTTCAAGGAGAATATCAGAAATCACACTGAAATACTGAGCCTCGATGATTAAAGAACCAGAGGAATTACGAATGAACCTGAAGAAATTGTTCACAGTGAATGTGAAAAGAGACTGCAAAAAAAGGAAGAGAAGAAAACAAACTGGGAGAATTCGGAACAAACTGTGGAAATTGCCAAGAAAAGAGAAGCAAAGTCAAGGAAGATAAAAAATCTCAGGCAGAAACTTAATAAAGAGTTTTAGAGAGCACTTGATAGAGGAGCCATGAAAGTCTTGGAAAAGATATTCAAATGCCATGAGTTCCTATACCTACAACCATGACAACTGAGAAACTTAATGGAAATGAAAGCTGGGTTTTAAAGAAGCAGGTTTGGGGAAATATTGATATTTTTGAACTTTTGGTGTTGAAGAAAACTCCTGAGACTACTGCGGACAGCCAAGACCAGAAAACAATGGCTCATCAAGCAAATCAATCCAGAGTTCTCACTCGAGGCACAAATGACCAGGTTCAAATTATCCTATTTCAGATTCATTATGTGAAGGCCCAGCTCTCTGCAAAAGGCTGCAATGCTGGGAAAGATGGAGGGAAAGAGAAGAGGACAAACAATAAGGATGATAGATTCAGTTTCGGTAGCGAAGAGTACACCTTTGGGAAACATGCAAGAATAGGTTAGGTATAAATTGTCATGGAGAAAATCTATCAGTAGGAGCTGAAACAACTTGGTGGCACATTTAAGCAAAATTTAATTTAATATTAAAATAACTTGCTTCTATTGCTGTATGTCTAGCAAAGCCCAAACCTTAGAAACTGGCAATCAAATAAACCAATAAAAAAAGTTAATGACAAGGATAGACAAAAGAACAGGTAGCACGAAAATTTGTTTGCTTTCAAATCTTCAGATGGGATTTTCAACTGGTATAAGCTAGCAATCCAGGTGTTATTCTTCTGTTAACAGAACAATGTAGAAAATGCAATACAAATGCATTCATTTTGCTTGCAATTAGTATACATTTTATATATTTTTAAAGCTGAGTTGTACCAATTATAAAAGCATCCCCCTTTGAAGCGTCTTGCTTCATTTTGTTCTTGTTGGCAACTGTTGATTTAGATGGGATTGTTTTTCCAGGTAAGGCAAGTTCTGTTGTTTTTGGCTTAGCTGCTTCTTTTGGTTTAAGTCCACCACTGGCCTTTGCTACATCCACTCTGCTCTTTTTGTTGATGTCTTTGGGGAAACTTCCCTCATTCACACGACGCTTGCTGCTGAGGGTTTGCTCATCTTTCAGAAGAAATAAAGCTTTTTCATTTTCTTTATGCCTAGATGAGAAATCGTAAATTATTCCAGTGTCATCTTTGGAACATTGTAGAGAAATATAAACAACCCAAATTATCCGAAGCATTTGTTTTTAGAGTTCATGGTTGATCGATGAATACATGTATTATTTTATTTTATTTTATTATTTTATTCAATTTATGGAGCTGCCCATTTCACATGTTTGATTCTGAGTGGCTTACAAGATTGAAACACAAACAGTGCCGGAACTAAAAAAAAATAATCCTGCAGTCTATACAATACAATCAAGAGGAGAAAATAGTCAATTTAGGTTAACAATAACAGTTTTGTGAGTTTTGCGCCACCATTACAGTATCTGATCCCTAGGCCAGATGGGCAAAGCCATGTCTTCAGGCCTTTTTGGGAAGGCCAGCAAGGTTGTAGCCAGTCTGACCTCTGGGGGGAAAAGATGTTGCTTATGGTGGGTGTAGTGAAGAAATAAAGGCTCCCCTCTTGGCTCCTGTCAGATGGCATTTCCTTGTAGATGGAACCCATATCATGCCTCTTCTGTTGGTCTTGATGGGACAAGTAAGTGTAATTGGGGAGAGTCAGTCCCTCAAATAGCCTGGCCTCATATCATGTGGGAATGTATAGGTTATCCAACACCTTGAGCTGAACCTGGAAGCAAAGTGCTAGCAGTTTGCAGATCAGAGGTATAACATGCGCAGAACTATCCGTGCACATCATTACCCATGCTGCTGCATTTGCACTGCTGAAGCTTTCAAATGTTCTTCAAGGGCAGCTCCGTTTAGAGCACATTACAGCAATCTATACAAGAGGTAACCAGGACACGAATGACTGAGCAGAATGCCTCATTTATGTGGGAAATTGTATACAGGTGGTCTTCAGTTAACAACCACTTGTTCAGTGACTGCTTGGAGTCATGAGAGCATGGAACAAGTGGTACTTATCACTAGCCCTTGCAGGCTTGGCAACTGGCTTGCCCTTACAACACTTGCAGCATCTCACATCATGTAGTAATAATAATAATAATAAAGTTGGAAGGGACCTTGGAGGTCATCGAATCCAACCCCCTGCAATGGTTTCCCACAAGAAAATGGGGAAGCTGGCAGGGAAGGTCAGAACTCACTCTGATATTTTCCCCTCCTCCAGCCCTCCTACACTTCCATGATCCTGCACTATTCATCCCCTGGCCGTCCTGCATTTTATTCATTCATTTATTAAATTTATATGCTGCTGATATCACTGTTGAAGCAACTCTGGGCGGCATATAAATTTTGTATTCCTATCCCCCAGACTTTGTGCACTCTTATGTGACCTACACTGGGCCTCCCAAGACATTGCCCTGGTCTCCCCAACTCCCCTATGGCACTTCTGGGCTCCTTATCTGAGACTCTCTGTTTCCTGCTTAATGACTCACACATCCAATGGCAACCAAGGCTGCCAGGATTGTGGTTGCTAAGTGTTGTGATCATATATCATCACACTGTACATCACTTAGAGATGGCAATCCCAATCTCAATTGCTGTCATAACCTGAGGACTAACTGTATACGTTTTCACCGGTAATATAAATGGCAGAATGTTAGAACAGGAATAAGTCTTGTGAGAATATGAGAAAAATCTCCTCCCGGCTAAATTGGAAACCTTAGGCAGCAAAGTTCTTACCATTGCCTCACAAGCTTCCACAATATATTGGGTTCCTCATTATATGTGTGCACAATGTATTATGGATTCCATCTAACTTAGAGAATATTTTCAAGGAAGATGGTTTTGGTTGAACAGAACCATTCCATTTCCCTCCAGATCCTTACAGTATGGTATGTAGTTCTTCCCTTCTCTAGAATTCAACACTTATCAAATTATTGGTATTACTGGATTTCATTATGGACAGGAACATTAAATCTTTCTATCAATTTCATTAGTAACATGTCAACATTTCCATAAGACTGTTTTCTTTGTTGTCCTAAAGTTCTAAATTAACCTCACCCAACAGGAAGTTTTCTTATGCAAATTTTGTCTTTCTGGTTCCAATGAGATTGCAAAAAAAAAAATAAAAAAATTCCTTGTACAATAAAAGCCAAGACTTGAGAGGATTATAAGTAATGTAAGACCAACATTTGGACCAAATATCCTACAGCATGTTGAACAAGTTTTGTATTGTCAACAACTGTTAGACTAACAATTATTCAACATCTGTTCAAGCCAATTAGAAAAAAATGAAAGTTGGATATTGCGTTCTTTTTAACACAGAATGCCAAGACCGGAAGGCCAACATTACAAAAAAGTGTTTATAGAGGCCTAATAGTCCAGGTCTTGTTTAATGCAGGAAATTCAAAATAAGAACATTCTAGTCAGATGGCTAACCTGTTTCTGCTTCACAGCTTTTATTGAGGGTGTATCTATAATTACACCAAGGAATTAATTCCTTTGTCAAACTATCCCCAAATTCCATACATTTCTCTTAATTCTGAACCAAAATTTATCTTTCTATAAGTTACTCTTTGAGTAACTTTGCCTTTGTCCATCTGATAATACTTCAGAGTTACTATGTCTATCCCCCTAAATCTTCTCTTCCCATGCTGGAAATAGTGTTGTTGTTTTTATTGCCTATTAAATATTATATAGTGTTTATCCTTGTGTGTCGATTATCTTTAATCTAACGATCTAAAGTGATAGCCTCTGTCTCTGTGTGTGTATGTATGTATGTACAATAAGCAGTTCAATATATGAATAAATCTAAAGGGAGATAGTGTGGTATTGAAAACATACTTGATATCTGGATCTTCTATTGATTTTTTTCTTTGAGATATTTTTTCTGGTACTTCTGCTTTTTCATCCCTGGGAATATCTTTTCTTTTATCATCTTCTCCCACATTCTCTGGACTTTCTATAGATCCATCATGCTTCTTCACAAGTCCTAAAGCATCACCTTCTGTATCTGGGTTATTCTGACTTTGATTGGCTTCATTTGCATTCACCTCCACTGGGCTCTTTCCTGAGGGCTTCTGAAGAGAACTTTTCCAACTGTTACTATTACTTCTCTCTGCACACACTTTAGACTCATAAGAATCAAGAGATTTTAGGGAATTTCTCCGAACAAGAAAAGTGTTTGCCTTCTCTGTATTCTCTTTGTTGAGTTTATGGACCTTTTCCGTATGAGAATATAATTCTGACTTCTCATCAGAGCCATCTAGAACTAAGAAAAAATCAATGATTTCAGTGAAAAGAATATTTATGTAACATCATTCAATTACTCACACTGCAGAAACTTGCTTCTCTCGTTTGAAAATTAGGGACTTTCCAGCTTCTGAAGTGAAGTGTTCAACCACTAAGAGTCTAAATATATTATAAAGAATATATTCTTGTCACTCAAGGGTGCCTCTAGTTGAAGGATTCTGACCACTGCTATTCATTGCTCTTCTGTTAAAACATTTCCATTCATTTTCCACGTGTGAAAGCATCACTTCTAAGTAGCATAGAAATGCAGCCCAAAAGAAGGCAGAAGGGTATTCTTTTCATCCTTCCTATTGTAAAAATTCTGGAACTATAAAACTTCTGAAAGGAAACTTTATATGGGTTCAGAACCTTGAATTCATTAATTTAATTTTATTTATTTAAATGTATTGGTCAACTCCCTCCAATGGACTCTACAGTTAATATACAGTTAATTTGTTCGTCTCCATTCGGAGAACAGATTTTCAGATGTTTGCCTGATATTTTTGGCCATTTTAAAAAATAAAACAATAATATATTGTCATCTGAATTAACTGTATCCTTTGTTCTACTGAACAAGCCTTATTGTAACTCAAATCAAAACTTCTGTTTGCTGTGAGCAACACAACTTTGGCAAACAAGTTATGGCAACAGACAATCAAGGGGATGCAGTGCTTCTAATACTGGTAAGGAACATGGCTAATCTAGTTGGAGGAATGAGATTATGCAATGCTGGCACTGGAAAAATGCAACTAGCTGATCTAGAGAGAGACTTGGCACAAGTCCCATGGGCAAAAAGCCAAGGTTAAGAAACTTTATCCCAGAATGCCCTGAGGTGAAAAACCCTTTTTCCATTTGACAAATCATACTCTCCCTGTCTAGGGCACAAAGCTGCAAAAACAATACCACTCGTGTTAGTTTTGAGAGAAAAAAAGAGATATCTAACCTGAGGAATCTGGCATTTTTTTCTTTTTTATAGATTTTGTTCCCTTTGCAGTAAGATACGACTTTTCCTATGGGAAAAACAAGCAAGCAGGTCAAGGTTTCATAACATATTTCCTTTGTAAAATGTTGCATTTCCTTGTTCTAAGCACAGATTTTCCATGACTGCCAATCAAAATCGAACTTTGACAGCATCTGTAATTATTTCCCCTTTCTGTCACTGTTTATGAAATTCTTTCACCTGAATTTTGTATATACTTCCCTGAACTGTCTAGGGTTCCCTTGAAGAAGGAATTCAGAATCAAAGTCCTTGCTGCTAAATAATGTTTATTTCTTGTAAATAATGTTTATTTCTTGGAAAGGTCCATGCTGACTTGCATAAGGTGTTGTGTATAAAAATGTACTCAAGGATCCTAATATCTTCAACATTTGGCCATCATGAAAGCAAAATTTAAATCTGAAATACTTAGTGAAATGTTACATCTTCTCTCCTTCTGTCTTTGCGAGCTAGATAAAATATAGAACATATTTACATTTTCTAATGAAACTAAGGTGAGTGAAATTCTATGCAAATCTACTGAAGATAAAAGCATGAAATGATAATGAATTTTGCTCATTGAAATAAAGAAAGCCAGTTAACTTTTAAACTAGTTAATCTAATAGTCTATCTTAGGGATTCACAAAAATACAAATTCTTCTGAGGAGGCATGCCTTTCCAGACATATCTTTCAATTTTTTTAACATGAATATGTAATTGGTATGTACTATACATTTATCCTAACAAAAACTAATTTTAAAAAAATAACTCATCTTATATGTACCGCAACGGAAATGGTTTTCCAACAACTATATTTTGAATTGCATTTCCAAAACCATATAAAGCAAAGACATATGGCTTTTTCTCAGCTGAGTGCCATATTTAGCTTTGGATATGAATACTGAGAGAAAATTTCCCCAAAACAGGCAAAGCATGGACAACAGGACATATATTTTTTCATATTAAAAATTACAATTTGGAACCTACTTCTGAAGAAACTCCAGGTGGCCATGCAAGTTTTGCAAGGAAGATAATAAGTAACCTGTCTTTTTCAAAGCAATGTCGGTCACATTCCAATTATTTCACCCATGTTATCACTTCCAACACAGCCCTTTCCACACAGATGCCAACTGTAAGAAGCATGTTTCCAATGCTAACAAATATGTCTTCACCTGCTCCTTGAGAATAGTCAATATTTTATCTAGTTGGCCAATGAGATAGCACTAAAAATGGCAATACCTGCCTCTACCTGCCCTTTGTTTTTATTTTGCTGCATTTTGTGGGCATGTTTTAAAAATACCTGACAACATGTGCAATTTTGGCTGGTTCCAAGGTGGAATAAGGAGTTTCAGGAATCTAAGGAGTGAATGAATCAGGAGGGATTGCCGTCTCTTTTTAGGACAATTGTTTTCAATAATTCACATATAAATTATACCATATGAGAATGTTCGGTATTTACTGTGACCATTTATCCACTGCTAAACTTACCAGTTTTGATAAGTTCTTCTATCCAACTATTGTAGAGCTGGATATAACAATAACCAGCCCATTGCTGGGATATTTGTTAATTGCTATTAGCAGTTCTTTTGGGGGGGTCAAATTCAACTCCTGTTGCTATCAAAAATGTTTCCACATCCATGTTTCTTGGCAACTATACAGAAGTGGTTTTGGAACGTTCTCACCAAAATTTTGTTTAATTATTCAAAATAATCCATCTGGCTGGGCATTTTCACTGATACAGTCCAATAAAATAGCTTCCCTTCTTTTTCTTTTTTTTATTGTTCCTTTTGACACAATAGAGAACACTGGGATCTAAAGTTGATCTTTTCTGCAGAGTTTTAATAAATAATTTAATATAACAATTCAACATCTAAAATGTAAGAGATTGTCACAGTTCTTTGAAACAAATTAACATTCCCATTATTTAAAATAAAAACAGGACTGATCTAAAAATATTTTTACCCAGAATTTGCTATCATTTAAAGAAGGAAGGTGATTTGAAACTAATAGGTAGCTTCTAACTTTAATTGACACTGATAACTGGATCATCCTTTCAGAGTTCTTAATTAAACAGACAAACAGAATCACCACAGTGGGAATGGGAGACTTTCGAATTCCTACCAGCTTCCCCACTGACTTTCCTAGTAGGGAAAGTCACCGTAGGCATCACAGTGCTGTACCAATTTGGCAGCATTGAAACAGCCACAATTTTGCCAGGTTTCAATGCCATAGAAGTTATAGACCCTGGATTTGGATACATACTGTCAGCCCACTTGAAGTATATCCAGTGTTTTTTTTCTAAAAAAATAAAAAAGGTGCCGGAACTCACACACGTCATACACCCACCTTGCCTACCCTACAAGGTTCCATTCAAAAAAGGTGCCAGAACTCCGTTCTGGGCATTCTATGAGAAAAAAAGCCCTGAGTATATCGATTCAAAAATTGTGGCCCTAAGATTCATCATTTCACCCAATAGAAGATTACAAACAATCAAACAGACACAAGAGTTTTAATAGTATATACAGTAGATTATAAAGTCACAACAGTCTTAAAAAAAACTGGCAAAATGCTGACTGGTTATCAGTAAATTTATAGTTTGGGATTACTTTTTCTGTAGTCTTCAGTGCTTGAGTGACATCTAGAGGATGCTTTTATGAATATATTGCTCCCCCAAAACTACACCATTAACTAATGGGGGAAGGGAGAGGTCATGCCTGGATTAATCCCAGACAGTTCTTTCATATAAGCATTCCATTTTCAAAATAGCCAGCCAGAGACTTCTGAGCTAATCGTCTCCTATCACTTGACCTTCCGCTATTTTGTTATTTCAGGTAAACTGGCCATAATAATGGCTGATAAATATTAAATCACTATGCAGTTTAAGCTAAAATTGCTGACTGGAACTAAAAGACTCCAAGATATAAATGGTACCTTCAACATTTTGTATGAAAATGCACAAAAGATTAAAAAGGAAACCACTTATAACTGAAGCCCTCTCCTTGAACCTTACAACATTTTATTTATTTAAGAATCCCTGAGGATTGAATGGCAGATAATTTGCTAGTTTAATATGAACAAATGTGTAAAAGAAATAGGAAAATGTTAAAACAAATTAATCTGAAAACAAATTAGACAAATAATCAGTTTTAAAACCTACTAGGCACAGATACTAAAATAGCAGCAATAAAATTAATTATAAGCCAACATTTCAGCAGGAATAGAAAATTAAAATTAAAAATTATCCTCAGTAAACATGCATAAATCCAAGTTACAAATGTTTCAAGTTGTAGCATCCATACAAATGCTGAATAAGGGACGATCCACTTCCAAGTTAGACAAGCTAAAACTGAGCTTTATATAATCATGGTATCTACCCCACTGAAAGAATGATTAAAACAGCACAACACGTGGAAAATATTACTTGCAAAGAAATTAACTGTGATTTCCCACTATAAAAGGGACCACAAATGTGGAAGTGTGCATAATTATGTTAAAGAGCTACTTAAAATCACACACACACACACACACACACACACACACACACACACACACACATATAAAAGAGATTTCCATGATTGAGTAATGGATGAATTCATCAAAGAGGTATTATGACTGTTTCCTATATATACATTAAAAATAATTTTTGTCTGAAAAGATTTTCAAGAGGTGTCTAAATAGTTTGTGTCTCAAGTATTTCCCCCTCCCACAACATCCCCTCCATAGTGGTCAAGCAATATGATAAATCATGGAGGTTCAAAATACCATTGTACAACTCGATGAGAAACAAGGCATTATTTTTTGTAATGACTCTAGAATTCCTTCTCAGGGAATATTCATTTAAACTCCTTTTTGCCATCTTTTCAGAGATAGTAAAACCATTCTGCTTTAGCCGCTAATCATGTTTAATAGCTTTTTACATGTAATTAATTACATGTAATGAGGGGAGCATATTATTGGGAGGAGAATAGAATGGCATATTTCATTTATCTTTTATCTTTTAATGTTTAAATAGGCAATTTATCTTTTAATGTTTAAATAGGCAATTTAGGCTTATACCTTACTAACCAGCTAATAAATCTTTGTGCTATTTTGTATGGTTCTGATTAAGAGTGTGCATTTGCCCGAGACTACTGCTGTATCAAGGAAAAGGCTAAGCTAGAATTCCATTTTTCCCCCCTGAGCCTTCATTTTTATACCAGAAAGACCTGCTTTTCTATTGAGATTCATGGTGCAGTTTCTGAATGTTTCCCTTCATTTCCATCCCATCCCATCCTTGGATCCTTCAGACTAGAGTACACATTCTCTCAGAGGGCTCCCATCTTCCACAGCTAGCATGCCCTGCTACTAGAGAAGAGGTCATTTGTGCAGCTTGAAAGCTGGGAGAGGCTGCTGTACAAAATGTTTGCTTTCAATTACCACTTTCTCTCAGGTGTCCCGATCTGGCAACTGTGAAGCAGGTTCCTTTCAAAGGGGAACCAGCATTGGGCCATGATAAACAGGATCTTCTTTTTGTAAGTCCTTTTGGCTGTTCTTTCTGGAGCATAATATTTGCCTGAATTCTTGTGAGAGCAAAGTGTTCTCAAAGTAACCAAGACAGCAAAGCTACCTTTAAATTTCATGCCATTTTCTTTCCCATCTACCATAGCTTGACCTGATGGTTGGATATGATTACTTGAATAAACATGCTCTGGAAAAGGCAGGAGTTAGAGATCAAGGCAGCTTTAGACGTAAATTATCATACCATTAGCAGCAATTGGAGATTCCATCCAAAATTCACCGGGAGATTTTATGAACATCTGACTTCTTTTTTTAAAGAGGTATTTGAATCACCTCTTTATGCACCAAGTCTAATCTGACAGTGTTATAATATTCAATCTCCTTCTTCTTTTTTAATTCACATATTGAAACTCTTTGATTTTTTTTATCCCTAGTGCCAGAAGCTCTACAATGAATGTTTTTATGAAGGTTTAATCATAAAATTCTTTCCAACATTCTGTCCAACAAGGTGCAGTTCATTGGTGAGAAAAGTAAGGC